AATTTATCCTCAGCCCAAAACTCTACTAGAGTAGGCTGTCAGACCTCTTCTAGGTTTAGTGTTGCAATGTAAGATATGGATATGTTAGTAGTAGGAAAAATGGTTGCCCATTTTTCATATTTTGTTGCTGCTACTTGGTCTGTAGCTGGGTGTTCTGGAGTTGCAATTGTTAGTATATATGTTAGTTGGTTGTTTTGATATACAGCTTTACATCTTTCTGTCCATATTTGTTTGTAAAATTATTTGATATTTTGTAAAGTAAAGTGATAAACATGCTCAGATTAATATTGCTATTTGGAGGTAGGTTGTTTGGAATTAGGCCTTGTAGCCTAAGAAGGTTATGTATACTGTTCAGTATTTGAAAAAATTGTTGTAGTAATGCTGATATGTTTTGTAGTTTAATTTTATTTTTAGTAAGAAATTTGAGAGTAGTTTGTTGGATTACTTGGTTTAAAGATATGGGGTTTGTTGTGCATTCAAGCCAGTGAGAGTTGTTTTCAATGTGTGTAATGCAATGATTGCAAGTAAGGTTAGCGTATGTTTTGGGTTTTCTATAATATAGGTTTAGTAGTGTTAGTAGTTTATTTAATAGAAATTTGATTTTGAAGCTTTTTAATTGTGAATATTTGGGATGGGTGGTGCGAGTATTAGGTTTGTTGTTGTAGTTAAGAAATTTATGTGTTGAGTCCCAATTGGTGTCTTTTCGAATATTATCCCAGTGTTTAGTTCTGTTAAGAGCATGACATTTTGCAGTATTTGTAGCATTTTGTAAGTGTTGGATGAAATGATGAGTTTTGTTTTCAATGAATGTATTGTTCCAGATAAGGTAGAAGTTATTGTTATCAAGTGCATGTGGTTGGGTGTGCAATTTGTATTGTTGTATTTTGGTGGACTGGTGTGTTGTTCTGTTATATAAAGAGTGGTTGTCCATATCCTCTATATAGATGCCTTTAATTTTGGTGCCTTTACGGGCAATTATAGTCTGTATTAGTAATTTAAGTGGCTAGTGGTTGTGTTTTTGAAAAGTAAGAATAGAGTTTGGTATTGGTACAATAAGGGAGTTAATATAGTTGGTTGTTGGCTTGTGGGTCATATAAACAGTTATTTGGCAGTTCTGTGGAGCTATTACTAGAATTATTATAATTTCAATAAGATATGCACATGTTATAGAGAGCCAGTAGGTAATTTGTGATGAGAATGTTATCTTAGTTGGTGTAAGGGTCCAGGTGAATTGGGTCTGTGACTGTGGTGTATTTGCTTGAATCATAGTTGCATGGAGATATAGTTGAAATTTTTTGGTCTGTGAGTTGATAGTAGTAAAGTAAGATAGTCATATACAGGCAGTACTTGATAAGAATATATTGTGAAGTAAGTTGTTTTGAGTAGTTAAGTAGTAGATAGTTATAGATATTGGTGAGTAACTAAGCTAGTAGGTAGGTTTGGAGGTGCTATTCTCTTTGTTGAATGTAATGCAGTCTGTGAATTAAGTTTATGATGATACTGTATTAGATCATTAATATCTGTGCAAAGGACTTTAGAGCTAGATACTTTAATTATGATGTATTGAGACATGGTAAGTGTAATTATATATTGCTGATTAGTATTGGCAGTATAGAAATGTTTGTATTGAGAACATTTAGTGAATGGTACAGTATACTGTAGTTCATGTGATGGGAGTCGATAATGCTTAATGTATACTGTATTGTTTGTATTAAAGATTTTTTGTATTTTTCCTATAATTGATATAGTTTTAATTTTGCTAAAAACCCAGGCACTTCTCTTTAGTGCTATAGAGTTTGTAGTAAATGGGTTGGGGGTGATTGTAGGGATGTATGGTGTGGTAGTTGTATAAAAGGTATGTTGAAGTTTCTGAAACCATTTAAAGATTCTTCCTCTTGATATTTTTTGTATTTTTTATACAATACACTGCTATAGAAGAAGCTGTATATTTGTGTAATTAGTAAGTTGTTTAATAGAGTAGATGTTTGCTTTATTGGTTAGTGACTTGATTTGTGTTGGTTTGATACAATGTTTGATTAGTGTATTAATTGAGATAGCTTTGTATATAGTTGGTATTGGCCAGGGATTAGGAAGGTTTTGAATATTAATTCTAAGTTGATGTGCTGTTCTAATAGTTTGGGCTATGAGTATGTTGTTAAACTTAGTAGGTAGTATATAATCTAGAAAATGTAGTTGTTGTTAGATAAGAGTATTGCTTGTTGAAGATGTTGTAATAGAATTTTTATAGATGGGGCTGTTAGTGGATTGTTTAGTTGTATGTGAAGAGAGGAAATATGGTTTTGTGTTTGGATATCTGTTAGGCTACGTAGATTGTATACTTGGTGATGAAATATCATTGAGTTGGGTATTGTTGAGGCAAGTCCAGCTTTGTGTTTTGCTACTTGTATATATGAATTAGTAATACTTTGGGTATTAGATTGATAGATAAATGTGTTTAATGTTCTGTATAAAAATCGAGGTATGAGTACAGTATTAATGATATAAATTGCTTGCTTTTCTGTAATCTTTTTGTTTTTTATTGTACTAATGAGGTTGGTAGCCTTAGCAGTAATCTGGTTATAAATATGTTTGTGATAACTAAGTAGTGTGAACCAATAGCCCAGATAATGAAAGGTATCTTTTAAGGGTATAGTATGTATAATTGTATTAGCAAAATTGATTGTTGAATTTGGGTTTTTGGTCTGATTTGTTGCAAGAATTGATTTAGTAGGATTAATTGTAATGTTGGCCATATTGTAAAAGGATTTAGCAGAATTAACAATTTGTTAAAGGGTATGTTTGTTAGAAGCCAGCCATAGTGTGTTATCCATATAGGCTAGTACTGAGGTGTGATATGTTAGCTGTTATGTATTGGGTAATTGTGTTGTTGACATTTTGTAACCTTGAAATTTGGAATGAATGTGAGTTATTAGAAAGTCATAGTATATGCACCAGAGCAATGATGTAATTGTTTCTTCTTAGTCTAAAAAGATTATACTAATAAATGTGTATGCATATCTTCTACAATAATAATATAACATTTTAAACTTATTTTGTCCCACAAGAATAGCCAAGTGCCTATAAAGTTTTTCTAGAAATAAATAAATAAATATAAATATGTATAAAATATAAAGTTTAACTACAAGTAAAAGTATTAAATTATTATATTATTATTGGATTTGAATAGAATCCCTAAACGATACCATCAAGATACATTTTCTATCCAGAATTATTTATTCTTTTCTTGATCTTCCAAGCAATATGACCAATGATATCTAGCAATGTCTCTCAAACCACCTATACAACGTATTCTTTTTGGAGGTTTATTTCTTTCCAAATTCTTATTATTAAGTTTTGAATTTTCAGAAATAAGGTTTAATGATTTTTTAAAAGATGTTAAAGATGTTAATCTTCAAATAAACCATCATTATCATCATCTACTGTTATTTTAAGTCAATTTCCAGAGAAATTGCTTGATGAAATTGTTTAATTAATGAGCGAACTACAATTTTCCAACATCTTGATTCAATGTCATATTTCACAGCCAAAGAATATATATATTACTTTTTGGCCAATCAATAATTACAAAGATTTAAATTTAAATTCAAAAATGAATGAAAAAAAAAGAGATTATTCCTCAATGCATACTTTAAGTGAGAGTTAATTTTAATTTGCCAATGACTTTCGCTTTAAAGAGCAAAACACTTTCATGAAGGTTTTTAATATTTATGAAGAATTAATTGGAATTTTTAGATATTTGTTTCTTTATTGACACAATTTTTATGCAAAGTAATTTTATACTTTTCATGATCTCTGTTTGTTTTAAATCAGCATCAATAGGTGCATTAGATCTATTTGTTCTTGAGCAATTATTAGAGGCCTTTAACTTTATGTTAGTCATTCTTCAGTAATATAAAAGCTGTTTACAGGTACAATAGACTACTATTCAAAGTTGAAGTGTAAAAAAGAAAGCATGACCGAAGTTCTTTTTTATTGGCTATCATATCAAATGTTATTCATTGAATTTGATTGACTGATATCTATATTTTTTTTAACATTATGTAATAGAGAAGATAATAATTGTACATTATTGGACAGATGACAAAAAATTTTTCCTGTTATTTGTCATACGTAAGAGAGGGGTGATTATGATGCACCTATATAAAACTTTTCAGAAAAAATATATTTATTCTTAAAATTTATTGAAATAGATTACTTATCGAATAAACTATCTATCAATAAAAAAAAACAACTATTAAAAATAAAATTTTGAGATATTAAGATTTCAAAATCTACTTAAAAATTGCTATATTTTTTATATTTGGGAGGTATTATAACATATATCGAATATGTCTAATTAATGTTAAAAATCAGAATTACACAACAGCTAATACATATCTAAATAAGTATAGTACACATAACTACTTATTATTGTTTTTTCTTTTTTTACATAACTGTTTCTCTTTTTTTGCTCGTTTTTCTCTTTTTTTCTCTTTTTTCAGCTTCCTGGTCAGCTCGTTTCTGGGCTGTCTCCTCTTTTCTTTGTTTTGTACCTTCTGCTTTGCTCTTTGCTGATATGTTTATCTCTTTTAACATTTGTAGAGATTCTTCATTAGTAATAAGTCAGGTGAAGGGAAAGTTTTTTCTTTTTTTAGTTGTTTAAATTCTAACTCATTTGTCTGTATTGGAACTCAAGTAGTAGGATATTTAAGAGTTAGTTTTAATGCACAGATATTAAGATTTTTAAATATTTCAGGTTCTTTTTTTAGTAGTATATTTTTACTTATTAGAGCATGAATTTTTACTTTTAATGAATTATGATTTCTGATAATACTAGTATGTATAAAATAATTAAAGAAGACAATAAAAATAATAGTGAGAAAGATGATAAAGAAAATATTGAAGATAATAAAAAGAAAGACAGTAAAAAAGAAGATGATAATGAAGAAAATAATAAAAATGAAAATATGAAGAAGATGACAGTAAAGAAGATGACAATAAAGAAGATGACAATAAAGAAGGTGATAATAAAGAAAATGATAATAAAGAAGATAATAAAAAAGAAGATTGTATTGAAAAAAATATTGTTGAAGATAATAACATAGAAGGATAATCTGTTTATTAAGCTAATAAAGGTAAAATATCAATTTTTTTAGTAGATAGAGACTAATGGTATTAGGATTAAAGAATCAAATTTCTGTATCTTTAAAAATATTAACTATTATTGCAGAAATATAAGTTTTAATAAATACAAGTTCAAGCATTTTAGCAAATGTATATTTAGTTACCAACTTGCTAGTTATATGATAAAGCTAATTACAATTTTTGCTATATTTAGTTTTAAGTGTAATAAAAGATAATTCAGATGGCTGAAGAATATAGATTATAAAAATGAAAGTGCATATAATAAAATGCTATTTTTATAATAAAAATTAATACTTATATAATTTATATGATTGCTATAACCATTAAGTATAATAGAACAAAATGATAAGAAGAAATAAAACTTATAAAATGTTTATATATATTTGAAAAAGTTTTTTATACATATATTCTGAGCTACTAAAACCTATAACTGTACTGAATAAAGCATTATTTAACAAATCAGACATTGCATAAATGCTTTTGTATATAATTAATAGAATGATATAATTGCTGATAATTGAAATTGTTAGTACAACATAAATGTAATTATGTGAGTTATTATAAGCAATCTTATAAGTTTGGCAAGAGCCTTTAGTAGTATAACCTTTTGAACTTTAGGAACTATAATAAAATAAGTTTTGTTTATATTATATATATAATCTAGAATAAGTAAGTTATTTTGAATTATCTTATTTAGTTTATTAAAATAATCTTTAATAATAGTCAGATTGGCTTTTTATGCATATGCCTCTAACAAGACTTAAGGTATGCAAAAAGATAAATTAAAATAATCTTTCATAAAACATCTCTATCAAGTTTTATTAAGTTTATTGTTTTTAAAAAGGTAATTACAGCTATTGCTATTTATAATATTTATTATGTAGTAGTTTATCTCAGATCTTGTAAGACCAAATTTTAGTCTTTATATATTTATACAATAACCTACTAATTGTTTTTTTTTTTTTTTAAATATTAAGATGAGTACTTGCGACCCAGGATTTTATTGATAGTATATTTGGCTAATGGTTGC